TGTCGAAGTACACGCTACGGGCGAGTACATCGTCAATTTTTAGAGCAATTTAGAGGTTATAGCGATCCGTCATTGGAGAATTAAGCAGGTTTGAATTGTGGAGCTTTACTGCAAGAATTCGATCGCGATCGATGAAGTTGGACTTGATTTATAGTTATGCAAACGCACGAAAAAGAGCTAGGAGCCACGACCAAATCGGGGTGGTCGGAGTGTGTAAGAGTGCAAGGAGGTTGCATAAGGTTGTAAGGCGGTGAAAATTATATTGGAAGGCGGCAATTGAAAGATGGAGGAATGGCGGAAACTGCACCAGTAGGTGATGCATGAAGAAGGAGGGGTGTCTGTAAGTATGTGTGGCGATCGAAACGTGATCGCTGTCCACGAGACTAATGAAAAGGAAAAAGAAGAAGAAATTTACAAGGGGTAATAAGAAAAATAATTAGCTTGAAGAAATGGAAAGGAACTTGAAGTTGCATCCAATTTAAATGGACTACATATCGAGCAACTTGCCGGCTAAGCTAGGGATCGACAAGCCTGGATGATCCGCGATCACAGCTTGGTACTGATTGCGCCACAGCTTAGCAGAGTTCGTTAGCAATAAAGCGGAAGCCAGGTAGGGGATGTTGGTTTTATGAGCCCACATACTGGAGTACCAGAACTGCTTCTACTGGAACGAGGCAAATGCAAAAAAACTGGGTCCCGCAGAGTATCCAATTCAGAATGTCCTTCCACCATACCCCGGAGTATGAATCGCAAAACGGTTTTCCAGCGGGTTCCAGCTCGAGAGCGCCTTTGCTTGCGCTGATTACAGTACAACGTCAATCCAGGATCGCTAATCCGATCGGCGGATGAAATTGGAAAAGTGTGGGTCGACTCCCACAAGGTCTGGACACGGCGATCCTCGAACGATGGATACAGACCCAATAATCGTTCGAACCACCCAGTAGGAGAGAAGGACACGGGTGCGATATTCACCTTCAGAGACTCTCAAGGCTTCTGGCGGTAAAGTGTGTCAATCGACGCCGAAGTAACTAGGTGTAGAGTAATCAGGTGTAGAGACCACTCCGACATAGGAGGTGTCGCCGATGTACTGGGAGGAACAGGTAGGGAGTAATGTTTCGGCCTGGCAATATGGCGGCAGAAAACTCCAAGTCCAGTTCAGATAAGCTGATCATGCCCACCCGACGGGCAGACCAAGGTGAAACTAGAACAGAAGATCTTCAAACGCGACAAAGATACCCAGGTATTTATTGATCGAAAGACATCTTAGCTCGGAGAAGAGCATTGCACTAGGCTGAAGACAACAGCGTGTTGACAGGAGTTCGGTATTCTTCAACAACACTGATCGTGTCATCCGAACTGCTAAAGGCTTCGCCAAATGAGCGACCTTGGAAATCTTGGTTTATGCGCAGAAGAAGCAGTGATCGAGCAAGCAGGAGAGCCCAATGCAGGGCTAGGGGTGTCCACAACGATCAACACGGCAAGGTGGAGGTCAAAGCCAGCGGACTACCTGGTGGAACCATACTCCATGAAGAAGAGGCGTCGGGCGTCGGGAGAGTGCAGCTAAAGTTTGGGACTCCACATCTGATGACTCATCAGCATCCGAGCGGAACGTAGCAGATGACGGGACGCACAGTCTACCTTATCTATCACGACCACCAGAACCGGACAGATTGGGTGGTACGGGTGACGGCTTTGCCGTTGATCGCTTGGAACGGCGGGAGAAACACGAATGCTGTCCTTCATATTCCTACCCGGGGAAGAAGACGTGGTGATGTCGTTGGGCACAGACGAAGCCGAAGCATTTGATGTCGCCTTAATAACGACTGCGCGGGGGAAGGGGGTCCGGGGAGTAAAGAAATTCCTTGTCATGGCCCTTTTGTTACGCAGAGGAAGAACTCAAGCAAAAAATCTGGGACTTTTGTCGCGGGTGTCCATGGACTTCGTTGATCCTTTTACGCATGGAGAATCAGAACGGAATTGAGTCTCCATGACAGAAGCGAAAGAAAGATTGACTTATACGCAGGCAATGAATGAGGCGATACTCGCCCGAAGAGCAATCCGATCGCGCAGTGCGATATCGCGATCTGACTCAAAATTCGTTATCTCAGTATAGAGCCGACGCACTTGATCGTCCCGATCGGCGAGAAAAGAGCTTTACCGATCTCGATCGACTTCGAGCTCAGCGAGATTGCACTAACCCTAATCGCGCTCTACCACCAGTGCCGCAAGAGCATCGCGCAGACGGCAAACCTTGCTCTGGATCTGAGAACAGCCAACCTGGATCGGGCTCCTTTGAATGGACCCTATGAAAGTCTTGCGGTTTGTCCGGTGAGTGCAGCATGATTTGGGCATTTCTCTCACCATGTGCTGTCGCAAGGATACCAAATTCCGATCGTGACGTTCCTATGAAGCGCGATCGATCGAGTCGCCTTTAAAAGCTCTGACTTCAAGTCGTTACTCTGCTACTTTTGACACTGACCCGCGTAGACTTAATCCCGAAGTATGGCGGCCTCCGCACGCGCATGTTTGAGTTCCAAGCGAAAACGATCGTAGCGGACTTTTATAAAATCACAAACGGAGAGGCTGACTCAGCCAGGGAACGGAGCTCTTGCTCTAGCCAATTATCTCGACGAATCTGTTCCCTCAACGCTTGCCGCAGGTCGCCGTAGAGATTGACGCAGTCTTGCTGAGACGCTATCCGCTGATAAAGACCAGCGAGCATCTCGATCGTAGTCGCTTGAAAAGCTATCGGTGGCGATTCAACTCAAGCGGTCATCAATTGATTTGCTCCGGTAGGGCTGGAGTCCATGTGGCAGATCGTCATCATTGGTGGCAAAGCTGGCACTGAGAATATAACTGAAGTGGTATCACTTGAAGTGCCAGGCGATGCGTTGACGGATGCTAATGAGAATTAGGAAAGGTAACGCGTCACTAGCGGAAGGCACGTCGGGCGAGGCATGAAGGGGAGTGGACGATGTGGACGACGTGGAAGCCATGGTTAATGGTAAAACGGAAATGGCGACAGTACACGTGCCCGTGCCAGCCGGATGTTGTAAATCGGAAATTTGTTGCTGGGGGCGATTGTGATTAAGCCGATTGAGATCGGGTGAAAATACTTGGCGATCAAGCTAAGTACGAGGTGGCATTGGCTGAATCGCTCGTGGTATGATAGGCAACTATTTAAATGTTACCGTTGAAGTGACCCGAACGGGATCAACCCCATCTAATTTGCACGGTCCCAAATTGTAGAAAGAGCATAGGACCGCAATCAGGAGACCGCGATCAAGAGACCGCGATCAGGGGACCAGGATCAAGGGACCACGATCAGAGAACCGGGATCAAGGGACCGCGATCTTGCTGGGGTTACGTGATATAGAAGGGCTACAAATACATTCGGCATGGAGAAGACACGTGGCGGTCAATCCTGAAATACGGAGTAGGCGTGGTAGTAGTTTTGAGTTTTGGTGTTTAATATTAAGCAGAGTTCAATTCGCTTCTAAACACATACGTGTCGTTCTTCTTCCGGGTTGTATTATTTGGCCTCCCGACGTCAGAGAACTTCGACAACAAGGCCAGGCAGATCACTCCTGGGGCTATTTGGCCAGGAGTGCAAGGACTCTCAACACACCATAACTGATATCGGACGCAGGAAAACTTACTGGCTGAAGTACAAGATCGCGAGACGGCTCAAGTCGTCAGAAGGCTCGCGACTCAAGTACCCCATTTTAAGCACAAGGCAATCAAGGCTGATCGCGGCGACTCTTGGAGAGCGCCAACCAAGAGCACGCGATCGGTTGAGGAATTTCCACCCGATCAACACCAATTTCTAAAACGGTCGAGTTCAGCATCGAGTCAAGTCCACCTATAAGAAGAGTACAACCCGCCCTACCGGGTACACAAGGTGAGGAGGAAACAAGTGCAAGCGGAATCGGAGTACCCCGTCCGTTAGTCAGTTGTCAGGGCGCCAGTGGAGAGTCATGATTTCCTCATAGAATAAGCGAACCCCGCTCCATTACAAAGGTCTCATGGATGTGCGTGAAAATCTGTGTGTCAAGAATAAACGAAGGAGAAATGCTGCAATACCATTTCTCCGTGTAGTATAAATAGTGCACTCGCGAACCGAGTATTTGGTTGTGTAAGGCTTCTCAGTAGTTGTAGGTGTCCAACTTTAGAAAGACCCTCGCCTCCATGGAGCTACCCTTGAAGGAGGGGTGCACTCTTTGTTAAGGGGGAAAATCAAAATGATCTATTGATTAAGTATGATAATATGCAGAAACAGAAGTATATGAATATCTTAAGCTAAGAGGTATTGCGTGGCATATGGCATGGCTTTAAATCTTTTTAACAAATATGCGTGTTGATCATAGAGCAGGAGATTTAACCGAAACAATTTTGCCTTACGATGCATTGCTTGCAAATCACGCTATCACATATTTATCCTTGCCAAACATCACAAAAAAATTAAGCATTGTATGGGATATTGAAACACGTTCATTTTAAATTAAGCAATCACGTAACAGGGTGAATCGTTGCATCACAATTTACGAGAAATTGTTAATTGAATATAACTATAACAGTTATATTCTCAGAATATTGTCATAAGGACAAATATTCTGCAGCACTTACGAGTAGTTCCTAATTGGTTGATATAGGCCATTATATCAACCAACGAAGACGCGCCACGACAGACGCACGCAATGAGTGGTGAGTAGATAGTCGATATGCACATTTGTATTCAGACGTAGTTAGATGAGGATAAATAGTGATTTATTAACAGGCATTAACTATCATAAATACAGTTCTACTTTTTACTTCAACCAAGTACTCGCTTCTTCTTACCGTCTTCCTCTGCACGTACCAGTGTACGTGAAGTTACGCGGCACCGCCTTATTCTGTTGTCAGAATACGTAGCCTGTACTGTCATCAGTACAAGCTTCAGGGTGCCCCGTTACACCTGGTAGCACTTCGTAGTCCGTCCAAGGGCCACGTTCACATCTAACATGAATATGTTAGATGATGATGATGACCAAAGCTTTCACGCTACGCGTGACGGCTACTCCCATTTGAGCGATGTCGAATGGGATGCGGTTGAACGGATGGGTTCAACCATGGGCATCCATGCTGTTAGCGTCATGCTAGAGGCTCTCAATAGAGATGCCCAACATGCTAATGGCGCCAAGTTCATTCAAAATGAACTTGACGCTGAACGCGAGAAAGTAGCCTTGCTTCACCAACAAGGTTCTCAACAAGCAGAGTTGTTGAGAGAACAGGGTGCTCAACAGTTTGAACTATTGAGACAGCAGCAGGCTGCTGCTGGTGGGTCGATGCACTCGCGTCGACCCGAGACTTTGAAGATTGACATCTCTAAGTATAGGAGAGTCGAAGAGGACTCCCTCTTGAGATGGTTTGTCGAATTAGACGACGCCATAAGGGCGCGTCGCATCGACGATGGGGAAATGCAAGTTGCATTTGCCCAATCAAATCTGGCAGGACGTGCCAAGACTTGACCACTGGGGCTCAAGTTGCACGACCCATATGCATTTGGGTCGTTAGAAGTCTTCAAGTCGCGGCTTAGACAAACGTTTGAACCGCCTAGAGCTGATTCCAGAGCTCAAACTGAACTCTTGAAGCTCAAACAGGGTAAGCGTGATGTGCACACTTTTGCACAACATATACGACATCTCACGAGTTGTATAAGTTCCAACCCGGTCGATGAACACACGTTGGTTTCGGTGTTCATGCAGGGTCTTGCGGATGGTCCTGTCAAGACTCACCTGTTCCGACTTGAATTGGATTCACTAGAACAAGCCATTTCCATTGCGGAGCAGGAAGACTTCAGTCTGAGACAGGCTCGCGCCAGCTCGACATCATATCGTCCACCGAGACGATATGACAGCGGAGGTCCAGAGCCGATGGAACTCTGTTATGTAGAGAGCGAGAAGGCTCGCTCTACAGGCTACAAGAAGTTGCAGAGATGCAACAGATGTCAAAAGACAGGACACTACGCTTACGAGTGTAGTGCCCCTCGTCCAGTGTCTCGCGACACTGGGCGTAGTGACCGTCCACCCATGAGAAAGGGGCAGGGACGAGGGTCCGCTGTTGGTGCAAAGACGCAACAACGGGATGGACCGTCAAAAAAACGGACAGGATCAGTAGGTGCGGAGCACCCTACTGATCCAGCAACGTCAAGAGAATTTGTAGGCCTCTTGATGAAGGTTGCTCCCAACACACAGACGTTGTGCGTTGCTGCTCTAGGTAATGAGGTCTCACTCATTACCTTGAAACTCGAAGTGACGAATAAGTTGTCCCTTCGAGCTCTAGTCGATTGTGGGGCGTCCAACAATTTTGTGCGACGCCAATCGCTAGAAGATGGTCACTTTAAATTTGTTGAGTGTGACACACACCCTACGAGGATGACGGTACGTCTTGCGACAGGCGCATCCGTAACCGTCATGAAGCGTATGGTGAAGATCTACTATACGCTAGAAGGTACCCAATATGACGATGGCTTTATCGTATTGGATTTGGATGACAAATTTGATGTCATCCTTCGAAAACCGTGGCTCAGAAGGTACGAACCACGAGTAAACTGGTAACATCGAACAGTAACGATGCCTGCCGCTTGTTTATCAGATGGCCATCTGATGAACGTTTTGGAGCGTCCACAAGCGTGTGGATGTACTACGAGTGAGTGCGATGGCCTCAACTTGTGGTACGGTCGTTAGTACGACTGCACAAAACCTTAGTGTAACAAACGGTTACACTTCGGAGCAAAGTTCCGGCGGCTGTGAGGAAACACAGGCTGCGCCGAAGGTCCACCGCTCGAATAAGTCGAGTGGACCGGGACAAAGATGTATCCCTAGCGGGGGACATCTAGAAGAGAAACAATCAATCGCTCAGGTTAAGCGAAACGATAATCCTAGATCGACTGGAGAGTCTTTCGTAGAGGATATCGCTGTGGTTGCGCAACTACAGCTGGAGGAAGTTCAGGGAATAAGTCCCGATATTACAGATACGGTGGAAATAAGTTCCCCGAAACCCGAGGGAAAAAGTCCCCGGGAAGCCGAAGGAATAAGTCCTTCGAGGCCTGAGGGAATAAGTCCTCATGAAATGATAGAGACACTGAATGTCATAGTCAATAACGGATCAAGTGTAGGCGCTTATACACTTGATCTGATTGCGCCTCCGAAGTTGACTTCGGAGATCACTCAGTTGCCAACGCTCGAACATAAAAGGTTCTTGCGTGATCTGCGTAGTGGCAAAGTCAAGCAGATCTGCGTACTCGTCGCTGACGACGAGTGTGTAACCGACATAAGGTCAGCAACAGTGTTCACTGAGAACGAGAGAGTTCTCAGTAGTTCATATATGGACGAGAGTGTCCTCGATGAAAAGACACGAGTTGAGCGATAAGACTCTAAATCGTGGGAATCGCTCAAGAAAAATCGTCTCTATGAAGATTTGGTTGAATTCAAGGATGTATTCCCTGAAACTGTTCCGTGCGAATTACCGAAGGGTAAAGGTATTCGCCACGAGGTCGAGCTTAAACCAGGCTCGAAGTACTGTGTCATGAAGCAGTGGCCACTGCCTCGTGAACAAGTACTTGCGATCGACAAGTTCTTTGCCGATCGTTTAGCTGCGGGCCATGTGAGGGAATCAACTTCCCCACATAGCTCTCCGAACTTCTGTGTGCGAAAAGCAACAGGAGGGTGGCGGATAGTGCATGCATTTAACAAGTTGAATGCTGCAACGGTACCGGCCCGGACGCCGATACCAAGGAAGGACGTAATCATAGATGGTATGTAAAAGAGTACCATATTTTCGTCCATGGATTTTATGGATGGCTTCTATCAAATCCTTATGCAAGAACAGGACATACCCTATACCGCAGTTAGTACGCCTAGCGGCATGCTCTGGGAATGGCTAGTATAGCCACAAGGGCTTAGTAATGCCCCTGCCACGTTCAACAGATGTGTATCACATCTGTTGAGACCAGTACGAGAATTCGCACCGAGTTATTTCGATGACGTATTCATCCATAGTCGGGCTATGGATGGAAATTCGGACGTTGAGGCTCACAGGTACCACGTCCGACAAGTTCTTACAATCATGCGAAAGCATCAACTATATGGAAACCTAAAGAAGTGTATATTTGCAGCAAGCGAGATACCACTTCTTGGGTGCATCGTTGGTAAGAACGGTGTACGTCATGATCCCGAAAAGATCAAGGCGACCACCGACTGGCCTTTGCCGGTTAATGTCAAAGGTCTTCGAAAATTCCTTGGGCTGGCGTATTTGCACAAGTATTCACGCAATTACGCCGAGATGACTGTACACCTCTCTCGTTTGTTGAAAAGGAACGAGAGGTGGTTACGGAACGCTGAATGTCAGCGCTCCTTTGATGGTATCAAGCAGAGCTTGATACAATCCCCAGTCCTAGCAATTGCTGATCAGGACAGGCCACTTCATGTGGTCTGTGATGCCAGCGATTTCGCAATCGGCTGTGCATTAATGCAGTACGATCTTGAAGGCGTTGAACGCGTCGTCTGCTATCAGTCGCGTCAGCTGCAACCAGCTGAGCGGAACTATCCAGTGCATGACAAGGAACTTCTTGCCATGAAGTATGCACTCGCGAAGTTCAGAGTCTATCTATTAGAGGATAGAACCTTCATTGTTTACACTGACCATGCGTCATTACGCACGACAGTAAACAGCCCGCACCTTTCACAACGAATGGCGAGGTGGTTGTATTCGTTGCAGAATACAACCTTACGGTAGAGTACAAACCAGGACGACTTAATGTCGTCGCTGATGCACTCTCACGTCGTCCCGACTTTGAAACAGTCGCGAAACCCAACAGTGAGACAGCCACTGTTGCGGTTATGACGTCCTCAATACCATCTTCAACGTTACATGATGATGTGAGGCGGGAATACGCCCAAGATGGTTGGATTGTGAAGTTGTCGACACATCTCTCACAACCATCTCGAGAATCGTTGAAACGATTATCGTCTGCGTATCGATCTGCATCAGATCGATACACTACTCGCAACGGTTTACTGTATTATACAGCCGTTACTGGTGACACACCACGTGTTATCATTCCAGATGATACTGATCTGCGTTTGCGGGTCATGTTTTCGAGTATCACGATGCTCCTACAGGAGGACATCGTGGCCGGGAGAAAACATATCTCACGGTGAGTCGAGACTTTTACTGGCCCGCCAGTATCAGTTTGTGCGTAAGTATGTTCGCGCACGCGAAGTCTGTCAACGAGTGAAGTCAAGTCCTTCACTGCGTGCAACTTTACAGCCTCTACCAGTTCCGGAAGATTGCTGGGAATCCATCTCAATGGATTTCGTCTTCGGGTTACCCAAAGACGCACGCGGGAATACGGGTATTCTCGTATTTGTTGACAGATTCAGCAAAATGGTACACCTTGTGGCTGTACCAGAGTCATTCACAGCAAGTGGCTGTGCTTGTGTCTTTATTGACACCATCTCCCGACTTCATGGGTTGCCCCGTGAACTCGTATCAGACAGAGATCCACGCTTCACAGCTGATTTCTGGCGTTCCGTGTTCAAATCACTCGGAAAGCGCTTGAAGATGTCTGCACCTGATCATCCAGAGTCATATGGTCAGACGGAACGAGCCAATCATGTCCTCGAAGAGATACTTCGAGGATACGTACACTCCTTTAAGAGTTGGAGTGAGTTCTTGCCCATGGTAGATTTTGCCATTAACAACTCGGTGCATGCGTCCACGACACATACACCGTTTTACGTGAATGGCTTGCGCCATCCGCGTGTACTCACCTTACTAGAGTGTAACTCTGGTTTAAGGGGGGGAGGGACTCGCGCGAGCAAAAACCGATTTGGTTCACGCTCATCACGCTCTGACGAAGAGGTCATTGCGTTTAATGCCGATATCGATAACATCGATATCGAAGAAGATGATGCCAGTGAGAGCGCGGAAGCCCTCACTGAAGAAAAGATTGATGTTGCTGCAGTGCACTCACAGCGCACTGAAGCTAACGAGTCATCAGATAAGTTCATACTGGCTCGCGAAACGGTAGTCCGTTTTGTGCAAGACTCCATCGCCGAAGCGGTGGATGAGTAAAAGCAAAACGCAGACAAGAATGGAAGGGCAAACACTCTTTTATTTAATCAAGGTGACTTAGTGCTACTGTCTACGGTTAATCTACCAAAGCATGTAGTGACTAACTTGGGTAGCAGTAAACTTCTACCCAAGTACATCGGCCCATTTCGTGTATTGCATCGCCTCGGCAATGCACACACGATTGAGTTGCCACGTAATATGCGAAGGCATCCCACGTTTTACGTTGGTCGGCTTAAGCCGTACCATCAGTACGCTGTTTCTTCGGATGAAGAACGCCCTTGCGCTCAAGCATCTCGCAGAGGGCCTTGTGCTCCCGATGGTGGCCGTCGACAAGGGTCTGGAGAGCAGTTATCTCATTCCGGGACCGATCAACATTCCCACAAGCTACCCTTAGCTCGTCACGCAGAGACGTCAGAACTCTCTCGTTCTCAAGCTGAGCAAAGGCAAACTCAGCTCGATGCTCCAAGACAGTGTCCGCCAGTTGGAGACGCCTGTCCCGCTCATGCTCGAGATCGCCGCGTAACCCTTGCGTTACGCGATCCAAGAAGCTCTCGGGAACACACGGATCCCCACGATTGTGTGGAGAGCGTCTTCCCTTCTCCTCCACCTCCTTTGGAGGACTCTCGCGGTGGCCAGCGCTATCTGATTGAGCGGCTGTTGAACCACCGCGACGTGAACGGACGTCGGACGAGTTATCTCGTCCGGTGGCGCGGTTATCCCCCGTCCTGGGATACTTGGGAGCCCCGATCCCAACTGATGATTGACGTAATGGGTCTGGTCGAGCAGTACGACGCGGCACATCCTGTGCCGTAGAAGGAACGCCGGAGAAAGTCTTCCCGGCACGGTCGTAACGGGATTTCAGGTTGTCAATCCCTTCGTACATCTCACTAGAGATACGTACGCGCCACCACGGGCTAGTAAGGAGGTAAGCCTCCTTAGGTACGCGCGCAAAGTTGTTTACACAACATGGGCACGAGTCTCCCCAGGAAAGACAGAGTAACCCACCCTCCTCAGACAGATGATGCAGCTTATAGCGTGCACCTGTCGGGGTTCGCTTTTCAAACTTATCACGAGCTTTGATAAGTTTGTCGTTCCAAACGTCACGAACTACATCCTCAAGGTTATGGATGTAAGCGTTCCACGCTTGAAGCAGTGAGGGACCATCACGTTGTGATTTCTACTTTACCATCGATGCTTAAAGAAAGCATCGATGAAGAATTTGTGCTCAGTGCGATAGCCTTTCGGACTGGGGTCAAGGTGATGGACCCTTGATGAATCGAACAATCGTGTTCGATAGCGATCACTTGTCGTCACCGACAAGCGATCCATGACTGCCTTTGGAGGCAGCCATGCCTTCTTTTCGGGAGCTAGACGCGACATGCTGCGGTCCTGCTCTCATGCGACGTGCCGACAGAAGTACTGGTACCTTGCTGCGAAGTGGTGTCAATAAGAGAACCGACACCACTGTGAGCGCCCGAGTCTTGCGATCTCGAGCGCCTTCGCTTTGGCGATGGTTCATCTGATCCATCAGATGAATCAAAGATGCTGCGACGCATAGCATCATCCATGCCACGCTTGGCAGGCGGCTTGGATTCGATCGCCGTCGATACGGATCCGTCTTCCGTATCAGGAGAGTATGAGACACCGAGCTCATACTCTGTGAAGACATGAGTGTCTTCATGACCAGCGCCTACGTCACCAAGTGACGCAGGCTGGTTCGCTTCAGCAACCGATGAGACATCAGTTGCTGTGGTTTCTGCTTCGGCGTCCGCACAGAGACGCGCGGACGCGCTCTCGGCGGCCTTGCCCGCGCATCGCATGGGCTTGTTAACCATGCGATGAAATGTTGGGAAGTGGACTCGGACCAACAAGTGCAAACCCTGTCCCAAATGATTTGGGACGAGTATCCATTTAGTCAATCAGTCACTAAAGTGACTGATGGTTAAGGGGGGATGTAACGGGGTGAATCGTTACATAACAATTTATAAGAAATTGTTAGTAGAATATAACTATAACAGTTATATTCACAGAATATTGTCATAAGGACAAATATTCTGCAGCACTTACGAGTAGTTCCTAATTTTTTTGGTTGATTAAGGCCATTATATCAACCAACGAAGACGCGCCACGACAGACGCACGCAATGAGTGGTGAGCAGATAGTTGATATAGACATTTGTATTCAGACGTAGTTAGATGAGGATAAATAGTGGTTTATTAACAGGCATTAACTATCATAAATACAGCTCTACTTTTTACTTTAACCAAGTACTCGCTTCTCCTTACCGTCTTCCTCTGCACGTACCAGTGTACGTGAAGTTCCGAGGCACCGCCTTATTCTGTCATCAGAATAAGTAGCTTGTACTGTCACCAGTACAAGCTTCAGGGTGCTCCGTTACCAATCAGGTAATTAAAAGCACATGTGTCAATGTTATATGCGTTTAAGTACAACCTCAGCTTTTTTCGAGTGTTTATATACCTACAATAAGCATAATTTGTTTATATAGTTACAATGCCTAATACTCTACAAGCGTCCCTCAATCCCTGTATGTCTAGCCACAGACTGCACATGAGTCACAGAAACTAATTGGCAGCAGCACAATTAGCGTCAATTTAACACTGATAATACTCCTTTTAACTCACGGGCGCGTGTATTTTCTTCGTTACTGAGTGTGTACACTAACACAAGCAAAAAATACATCATTATGCTAAAATTGGCCGATAGAAGGAGTGCCCCACACTTACGTACCTGGACATAGTCTCGAATGGTAGAATGAAGGCATCATAGCGTTGCAGTTAACCTTTAGTCGCACTCTATAGTCCTAACCGCCAATCGATGCAAAAGAAAAACAATGTACTTGTACATTATCTGCTCTCTCTGTAGCAGCGTCCAGCAAATATTGTGCCTCGCTTGGTACTGGCGCACGGTCTGTAAAGAGTGCCATCACAGTCTCAAACGTAACACAGTTAGTAAGTTCCTAGCGCATAATTAAATAGATCCCTTATGTCAGGCACATCATTGTTCGATGTCAAGTACCTGGTTAAAGTAATTATATGTAAGCCTTTTCATCCCACTGGAAGATGACCGACGTAAGCAAACTCAGCCACATAAATTACGCTGACAATATAGATAGGAAAACATTTAGGCAAACAAGCGCTTCACTAAGCTAGTCGACGTCGACACTTGCGGCACTGCATTCATCACAATCACGTGAACGAGCCTCTGCTTTTAACACAGCCTTTAGTTATAGACCTCCCACCTGCCTTCTACTCCAGCGAATCGTTGACTTACATTTGCCGCTAGCATCAGCCAATACTCGTAGTGGATCCCGCAGAACCGCGCGACTTCTGGCAGTTAGGATCCACTCGCTGGATGTGTATGAAGTGAGCGCTGGTGAGATGCGAATTGCACTAGCCACGTCATATTTCATCATGATGATATGACACGAAAGTATATAGCAGTAGAAGCATCATTAGCCAGCAATATCAGCGTTAAATGCATCACATGTAACGCATGCTTAATTTGATAGTACTAGACACCGATATCACTCGTGTCGAAGCTCATGCGCCATGTTTCATGTATAGTTCATCCCACGCAGCGGCTCACAAGTTGTTAACGGCAGTCTTGCATTGACAACGACAATAGCGAGCGGCGTCAGAGCCGGCAACCCACCCTCCTTCTATTTCAGCAGAGAAGATAATAATTGATGTATACTTACAGATGTTCCGTAGTCTGCTAAATTCAAGCTGCTCAACATTCATGAACTCGCTAGACCTGAGTCTAAATACTAGAGCCAACACAGGCCAACGTATAATACCGTAGGGAGTACCTTAGAGAACAACATCTAAGTTCCTCTGTAGAGGGCCCTATCTTTACAAAGATCTTTCTATTTAGTCACGACCACTTGTCGGAATGAAAATAGTCGGAATCACGGTGTGGATGAGTGCACGAACCGTCGATGAAGATTGGGCCAAAAATAAAAGACTGGGACACGGTCCTGCTAATTCCTTAGTTTTGAATACTTTGCTACCACCAGTAGCAGCATTAAGCTGACAACTGTTTAAGTACGTGATGAGATTCGACCCACACTCAGGTGCAGCGTACATCAGACACGAAGCCTGTTTAGAAAAAGGTAAAATTTTGGTAAAGACTAAAATAACAAATAGCGCGCCAGGCGCCTTCTTTTTTCCAGCTGGGCGCCTCGTCTGTGGCTATCGAATCCAGAGGTGAGATCTTTCTGAATCCTGCGTCACCCAAAATTAGAACCTTCTTGAACTTTTTTGACCACACAAATTACCCACATTAATCACCAAATTTGTCAGCTGGGGCGTTGAACCGGGAGTATCAGCTACGACGTTTCCACTCTCAACAAGCGTCGAAAGTATGGGCGGTGGGGGCGTTTTCCCAACTTCTGCGTTATGAATCCTTAAAGAATAGTGAATGACTCCATGCTTAAGATGATAAGTGACGCACTTGCCTTAGTACGCAACGGTAACGTCCTTTAATCATTTTTCAACTTGCGAGCATCTGTCGGCAGTTGTCCGTGTACAACACTCCATCGGAATCGCACATTATCGGCGAAAGAGTAATCTTGGAAGCGTTTACAACCTAGAATCAGTCCGTGAGTGAGCGATATTGCGGCGTCAGAACTATCGAGCACCAGGCAAACGGAGAACTGTATGTTTGACACGGCGTTAACTTGAGGAGTTTGTTGAAATTTGCGGAATGGCAAAGGAAGCATTGGCTATCGGAGGGAGCGAGGTATCGCAAGCGGAGTGATGAGGAATACACCTCAGCGATAGTGTCCACGTCCGTCGCTACAACTTATACAAAATGTACAATACAGGTAATTTCTGCCCGAACAATCACCTGTAATACTGACACTTGTTAGAGCAGTCAAATAAGTAAAGAGGAAGTGTCCGACTCACGCACGGCGCCTGGTGATCGAATGTGCTATTCGTGCTTTTATCAATCGTGAAGCTGTACACAGGAATAGATTAATATGTTTGATCGTCTATCATGGACAAGCAGTGCCTGCTAATCGACTGAGAAACGTGAGCCAGGCAAGCATGAACATCATGACGAAAAGCCTCAATCGAAAATTCGAATATCGTTACCAAGGGAGTAAATTTTGTGTTCATCACTCCATGTAAACTTCTCAACACTCAAGTCTACTTTCGAAACCATTTTCCACGGCAAGGGATAGTGTGAGCCACACTATGTGTTGTTTTGTTTGTGGTTGGTAGTTTAAGCACATTATAAGTTGTTGTAAAATAGCCTCCCAATTGCTTTTAATTGGGAGGCTATTCCACAACAACTTAGAATGTGCTTAGAGGTGAGGTTGAACGAGGGGTTATACTAACGGCCCTGTTTATATATCACCTTTAAAATCCTTGTTCGCTACACAATACTGCTACGAGGCATCATCATTGTGACAGTGTATGTCCTCCCGATTTGTTCTCTTATATTTACATGCCCGCCGTTGTTTACTGTGCGTACAAATGACATGCTATTGTGTCCACTTATGCACACGCAGCGAAAGAGTGTGACGCTTCAATCCAGAGCGAGTAGAGGCTGACGGAGAATAAGAATCAGGCTGGTCACGACACGCTCCTATTGGTATTACACGTCTGCATTTATGTCAAGTGGACGCAGTAGGCCCCGTGGACGGTAAAAAGCGCTTTTATGCATTATTATAAGGTCACCCTTGATAGAAGCTACATCATCTCCACGCTTGTGACGACACCATTCGAGAACATCCTATAATAGACTACTTACAAAAAGAGAGACAGACATGAGCTATTCAACAGCTAGCCGTAGTCGTTTGCTTTTCGCATCAGACTTTACGTTGCTTTGATTAATGTTATCGTTGTTATGAGTCAACACGCTTGTAAATCAGGTTAGACATTCGTAGGCAAGCATGAAAGCTGTACGAGCATAGGCGTCAGTGCCTTTTAAATGGTGTGCTGTTTGACTAAGATGTACCCGAGCTAAGTTGTGCGGTTGCTTACAGAGTTCTGCACACTATGCACTTACAGTTTGGGATGCACTTGTCCCCCAAACTACCCATGACTGATGAGTTAAGTACAATTGTTCCTGATACAACCGGTAAACGACGATGACGTTCGATGCAGATCCTATTAGGCTTGAATCGACACAATTTGAGCTAATCTCGATCTAACGGTAAATTGTTCATTCTTGCGCTTTATCGAAAATTCGATACCGTCAATCGATGCCCAATTCTTACCTATCGATGTTTAAAACTTAATGAAGACCAACTTTTTTAAGGGGCATCAGGCCCAACAATCATACATTAGACGACGTCTCGCATCTCGATCATTCGTTTTCAAAGTCTTCTCCAGTATGATGGCTAAGACTGTTTTGATCACCGGTAGCAATCGCGGCATCGGCCTCAGTCTTGCCGCACACTACAAGAACGAAGGCTGGCAAGTCATTGGCTGCGCTCGCAATGTCGATGGCGCTACTGACGTACGTCGCTCTCACTTTCAATTTGATACGAATATGACTGTAGCGCATCTGAATATCGATGGACCTCGTATGTTGTGGATTGCAGCTCCAACGACTCGAGCCATGGAAACTCGTGACACTTGACACGAGCAGTGAAGAGTCGATTGCTGCAGTGGCTTCGACGCTGCAGAACGTACCGATTCATCTGCTGATCAACAACGCGGGTGTCATGGACGACCACGATCTGGAATCGACGACGAAAGCAGATCTTCTACGTCATTACGAGGTGAATGCGGTAGGCCCTTTTCTTATGACGAGAGCGCTGCTCCCGAACCTCCGTCTCGCTGCAGCGGCTGAAGCCCCTGCTTTCGTGGCTCAGCTGACGTCCAGAATGGGTTGCATTGCCGACAATGACTCTGGAGGAACCTACGGCTACCGCGCGTCAAAGTCGGCGCTCAACATGCTGTCCAAGTGCCTCGCTATCGATCTAATGAAGGAAAACATTGGGTGCTTATTGCTGCATCCGGGGTACGTCAAGACGGCCATGGTCGGATTTCACGGACACGTTTCGCCGATAGACAGCGTCAAGGGGCTCACGACGATTATTGCTCGCGCCAAACTTGAGGACTCGGCCAAAGTGCTCCATTATGAGAAAGGAGATGTTCTTCCATGGTAAAGACAAGGAATAGCGAACAAGTAAGGTTCACTGTAGTCACGAGAACCAGCTACCACAAAATGAATTGCTTTGCATTTCGAAGTCACGAAACTGTGGTTTTTAGTCGTATTTTCGACAATCTATGCGTCTTGCATTTATTCGAAATAAGTCAGACTGGTTTGACGCAGGCATAGCAGAGCACACACAGCAATGTGAATTACTTCTTCGATGATGCGTCACGCACTATACTTTTTAGCCTTCTCGAGCTTAGTTTACGTATTCACCAGGCTGCGTAAATACAGCCACACTATTAAAATGGCCTTTTCGTTTGTCAAATTTAAAGATACGGGCGTCGATGGAGATAAATTGAAGGATCTATGTCGCAGAAGAGCAATCCAGGCTTTACGGTTCGTAAATAGAGATGTAGAATTTCACTACGTGGCCTCTATTCCACCGATCTGTGGCTGATATTATCCTCCTCCATCGTGCTCGGACACGAGCTGTAAATCTCCGAAGGTGAGAGGGCAGGAATCACGGTTACACTCGTTGCATTAGGTCTACCATTTCTCGACTGTAACTGCGCTTTTACAGCCAGAAATTCTGGGTACGACTGGAGCAAACTGCTATAATCTTTTCTAAATTTGTGTGTAATATTTACGGTTTGTTAGTAAACGTCTCCCGTTGCGCCCAGGCGATCTTAAAGAACAGCAGAAACCCATGATCCAATTAGCATAGTATGTACCCAAAAAGTAATTTGTGTACAACGTAAACTATTTTTGCAAGATTCGTTCTAAAGCAGCTGGCAATAGAGCCTACAAGCCATATCCTGCGCAACATGCAAGTAAATGAAAAAAGTCAAGGCGACTGTAAACTTCAAATGTCGGGGCGCTCATTATCGTGGTAGCTGGTTCTCGTGACTACAGTGAACCTTACTTGTTCGCTATTCCTTGTCTTTACCATGGAAGAACAATTCCTTTCTCATAATGGAGCACTTTGGCCGAGTCCTCAAGTTTGGCGCGAGCAATGATCGTCGTGAGCCCCTTGACGCTGTCTTCGAGAAGAATAGGTCCGCGGTACTGCACCATGGCCGTCTTGACGTACCCCGGATGCAGCAATAAGCACCCAATGTTTTCCTTCATTAGATCGATAGCGAGGCACTTGGACAGCATGTTGAGCGCCGACTTTGACGCGCGGTAGCCGTAGGTTCCTCCCGTTTCGTTTGCCGAGATGCAACCCATTCTGGACGTCAGCTGAGCCACGAAAGCAGGGGCTTCAGCCGCTGCAGCGAGACGGAGGTTCGGGAGCAGCGCTCTCGTCATAAGAAAAGGGCCTACCGCATTCACCTCGTAATGACGTAGAAGATCTGCTTTCGTCGTCGATTCCAGATCGTGGTCGTCCATGACACCCGCGTTGTTGATCAGCAGATGAATCGGTACGTTCTGCAGCGTCGAAGCCACTGCAGCAATCGACTCTTCACTGCTCGTGTCAAGTGTCACGAGTTTCCATGGCTCGAGTCGTTGGAGCTGCAATCCACAACATACAAGGTCCATCGATATTCAGATGCGCTAGTCATATTCGTATCAAATTGAAAGTGAGAGCGACGTACGTCAGTAGCGCCATCGACATTGCGAGCGCAGCCAATGACTTGCCAGCCTTCGTTCTTGTAGTGTGCGGCAAGACTGAGGCCGATGCCGCGATTGCTACCGGTGACCAAAACAGTCTTAGCTGTCATGGTGGAAATCTGGGAATGAAAGATCGCGACGCGAGGCGTCGTCCGGTGTATTAGTGATGTACTGCACTTAACCTTCTAAAAAAAATCATGTGTAGGGGTTATTTGATTCCCGATCTTTGGGATGCAAGGAAAAACTTTAGAAAATGTGGATTTTGCAAATTGCAGTACTGATTAAATTAGTGTCACCGAAAATCAATATTGACACGTACTAGGGCTACTGCAGTCGTCATAAAAATTTATCGCAATTGAAGTTGTAGCGTGCTTGATGATAATACAATTTCGGACCCAAAATGAGAAACGACAATGCGGCTGAGCTCTTTATTTGTCGATATATTCGATGCCTTACAAGGCTGTAGGCGGTTATAGTCGCCTCGTACGGTTTTGATCTGCGTTGTCATTTGACAAGACCTATTGTTACCTGCATATAAGGATTGTTGTGCCTGAAACGGACTGAAATGAAGCGGCGTGTTTTCGCATGCCCACACACGTCCAATTGCAGGTCCATACCTTAGAGGAAAACACAGGGCGCGACCTAACTCGAACGGCGGTTTCGTATTCACAAAAGAGGGTGTATCGACGTGAGTTGGACGACCTCCTAATTAATCAGAGCCGCTAGCATCATCCCGTAGAGCTTAAACTATGGATTCGAAAAGATTCGCAATTGCAGCATTATCTACTTGCTGTGATGTTGTTGCCTTCATCGTTCAAAGACGTTACTTAGGTTCAGATCCATAAGCAGGTTGCAATGCTTATCATGTTCTAGTAATCATTTCGGTCTGCGTCTCCGCTTGCCGAATGCCACCAATGGGCATGCCATGGGCAGCTTTTCACGACACGGTCTTCTTGCATTAAGGTTTTAGTAGAATCGTCTGGAAATTAAGTTTACAATCCTGCTCTATCGCAGTCGAAGCAGGTCTGCTTATGTAACGACAAAGCGTTGCTGTCTATCAATTTACAAAAGGCGTAACTTCTTTAAAGTCGCCTTCAACTTTGCTCCAACCAAAGACCGAGCGAATCTATCAAGATGTCTGAATAAAAGAACGACTTCTTCGGCGGTTCGAACAGCGTCTTCCAGGACAAGGTCGGGCACAAGGCCTAGCATCGCATCATGCCCATTCTTAATCAGCAGAAACGTACTTTTATATCGCTAAGGTTATCCTCGTTTCCGAACGACTCCTCCGACGCAAGTAGACTGGACACTTTAGCTGTCGCGGCTGGGTGTCTGCAAACCAAAGCTACGTTAGCGATTGGGTATAGAGCCTTGAGACGCGCAAATAGGCGAGCGATGAGAAACGTGAATTTAAGTGCGCTGTCTCAGCTCCAGCGTCCCACACGGCCCAAGCAGGTCGACAGAACTGTTTTGTAGTAGTGAGTGAAAGCCTTTTGTAATCGGAGATCTCCAGTGCTTCAATGTTCTGCTTGATTTGTAATAACGGCCGACTATGAACTGTAACATCGAAGTGCAGGCAAACGAGGGGAAAGCACATTGCTTCAGATTTCAGTGTCTTCTGCTTGGCTGGGACCGGAAAAATCAATGCGCTGGAAGTGCCTAAACTCAAGCCATACTGTAACGGGGTGAACCGTTACATTACAAATTATAAGAAATTTTTAATAGAATATAACTAAAGGAGTTACATTCTCAGAATATTGTCACGAGGACTATATTCTGCAGCACTTACGAGTAGTTCCTAATTGGTTGATATAGGCCATTATACCAACCAACGAAGACGCGCCACGACAGACGCACGCGATGAGTGGTGAGCAGATAGTTGATATACACATTTGTATTCAGACATGGTTAGATGAGGATAAATAGTGATTTATTACAGACATTAACTATTATAAATACAGTTCTACTTTTTACTCTAACTAAGTACTCGCTTCTCCTTACCGTCTTCCTCTGCATGTACCAGTGTACGTGAAGTTACGCAGCACCGCCTTATTCTGTCGTCAGAATAAGTAGCCTGTACTGTCACCAGTACAAGCTTCAGGGTGCCCCGTTACACCTGGTAGCACTTCGTAGTCCGTTCAAGGGCCACGTTCACATCTAACACGAATATGTTAGATGATGATGATGACCAAAGCTTTCACGCTACGCGTGACAGATACTCCCATTTGAGCGATGTCGAATGGGATGCGGTTGAACGGATGGGTTCAACCATGGGCATCCATGCTGTTAGCGTCATGCTAGAGGCTCTCAATAGAGATGCCCAACATGCTAATGGCGCCAAGTTCATTCAAAATGAACTTGACGCTGAACGCGAGAAAGTAGCCTTGCTTCACCAACAAGGTTCTCAACAAGCAGAGTTGTTGAGAGAACAGGGTGCTCAACAGTTTGAACTATTGAGACAGCAGCAGGCTGCTGCTGGTGGGTCGATGCACTCGCGTCGACCCGAGACTTTGAAGATTGACATCTCTAAGTATAGGAGAGTCGAAGAGGACTCCCTCTTGAGATGGTTCGTCGAATTAGACGACGCAATAAGGGCGCGTCGCATCGACGATGGGGAAATGCAAGTTGCATTTGCCAAATCAAATCTGGCAGGACGTGCCAAGACTTGACCACTGGGGCTCAAGTTGCACGACCCATATGCGTTTGGGTCGTTGGAAGTCTTCAAGTCGCGGCTTAGACAAACGTTTGAACCGCCTAGAGCTGAGTTCCAGAGCTCAAACCGAACACTTGAAGCTTAAGCAGGGTAAGCGTGATGTGCACACTTTTGCACAACATATACGACATCTCACGAGTTGTATAAGTTCCAACCCGGTCGATGAACACACGTTGGTTTCGGTGTTCATGCAGGGTCTTGCGGATGGTCCTGTCAAGACTCACCTGTTCCGACTTGAATTGGATTCACTAGAACAAGCCATTTCCATTGCGGAGCAGGAAGACTTCAGTCTGAGACAGGCTCGCGCCAGCTCGACATCATATCGTCCACCGAGACGATATGACAGCGGAGGTCCAGAGCCGATGGAACTCTGTTATGTAGAGAGCGAGAAGGCTCGCTCTACAGGCTACAAGAAGTTGCAGAGATGCAACAGATGTCAAAAGACAGGACACTACGCTTACGAGTGTAGTGCCCCTCGTCCAGTGTCTCGCGACACTGGGCGTAGTGACCGTCCACCCATGAGAAAGGGGCAGGGACGAGGGTCCGCAGTTGGTGCAAAGACGCAACAACGGGATGGACCGTCAAAAAACGGACAGGATCAGTAGGTGCGGAGCACCCTAATGATCCAGCAACGTCAAGAGAATTTGTAGGCCTCTTGATGAAGGTTGCTCCCAACACACAGACGTTGTGCGTTGCTGCTCTAGGTAATGAGATCTCACTCATTATCTTGAAACTCGAAGTGACGAATAAGTTGTCCCTTCGAGCACTAGTCGATTGTGGGGCGTCCAACAATTTTGTGCGACGCCAATCGCTAGAAGATGGTCACTTTAAGTTCAGTGAATGTGACACACCTCCTACGAGGATGACGGTACGTCTTGCGACAGGCGCATCCGTAACCGTCATGAAGCGTATAGTGAAGATCTACTATACTCTAGAAAATACCCAATCTGACGATGACTTTATCGTATTGGATTTGGATGACAAATTTGATGTCATCCTTGGAATACCGTGGCTCAGAAGGTACGAACCACGAGTAAACTGGCAACATCGGACAGTAACGATGCCTGCCGCTTGTTCATCAGATGGCCATCTGATGAACGTTTTGGAGCGTCCACAAGCGTGTGGATGTACTACGAGTGAGTGCGATGGCCTCACTTGTGGTACGGTCGTATGTACGACTGCGCAAAACCTTAGTGTAACAAACAGTTACACTTTGGAGCAAGCTTCCGGCGGCTGTGAGGAAACACAGGCTGCGCCGAAGGTCCACCGCTCGAATAAGTCGAGTGGACCGGGACAAAGATGTATCCCTAGCGGGGGACATCTAGAAGAGAAACCATCGATCGCTCAGGTGAAGCGAAACGATAATCCTAGATCGACTGGAGAGTCTTTCGTAGAGGATCTCGCTGTGGTTGCGCAACCACAGCTGAAGGAAGTTCAGGGAATAAGTCCCGATATTACAGATACGGCGGAAATAAGTTCCCCGAAACCCGCGGGAATAAGTCCCCGGGAAGCCGAAGGAATAAGTCCTTCGAAGCCTGAGGGAATAAGTCCCCAGGAAATGACAGAGACATTGAATGTCATAGTCAATAACGGATCAAGTGTAGGCGCTTATACACTTGATCTGATTGCGCCTCCGAAGTTAACTTCGGAGATCACTCAGTTGCCAACGCTCGAACATAAAAGGTTCTTGCGTGATCTGCGTAGTGGCAAAGTCAAGCAGATCTGCGTACTCGTCGCTGACGACGAGTGTGTAACCGACATAAGGTCAGCAACAGTGTTCACTGAGAACGAGAGAGTTCTCAGTAGTTCATCTATGGACGAGGGTGTCCTCGATTAAAAGACACGAGTTGAGCGATAAGACTCTAAATCGTGGGAATCGCTCAAGACAAATCGTCTCTATGAAGATTTGGTTGAATTCAAGGATGTATTCCCTGAAACTGTTCCGTGCGAATTACCGAAGGATAAAGGTATTCGACACGAGGTCGAGCTTGAACCAGGCTCGAAGTACTGTGTCATGAAGCAGTGGCCACTGCCTCGTGAACAAGTACTTGCGATCGACAAGTTCTTTGCCGATCGTTTAGCTGCGGGCCATGTGAGGGAATCAACTTCCCCACATAGCTCTCCGAACTTCTGTGTGCTAAAAGCAACAGGAGGGTGGCGGATAGTGCATGCATTTAACAAGTTGAATGCTGCAACGGTACCGGCTCAGACGCCGATACCGAGGAAGGACGTAATCATTGATGTTATGTCAAAGAGTACCATCTTTTCGTCCATGGATTTTATGGATGGCTTCTATCAAATCCTTATGCGAGAACGGGATATACCCTATACCGCAGTTAGTACGCCTAGCGGCATGCTCTGGGAATGGCTAGTATAGCCACAAGGACATAGTAATGCCCCTGCCACGTTCAACAGATGTGTATCGAATCTGTTGAGACCAGTGCGAGAATTCGCACCGAGTTATTTCGATGACGTATTCATCCATATTCGGGCTATGGATGGAAATTCGGACGTTGAGGTTCACAGATACCACGTCCGACAGGTTCTTACAATCATGCAAAAGCATCAACTATATGGAAACCTAAAGAAGTGTATATTTGCAGCAAGCGAGATACCACTTCTTGGGTGCATCGTTGGTAAGAACGGTGTACGTCATGATCCCGAAAAGATCAAGGCGATCACCGACTGGCCTGTGCCGGTTGATGTCAAAGGTCATTGAAAATTCCTTGGACTAGCGGCGTATTTGCATGAGTATTCACGAAATTACGCTGATATGACTGTACACCTCTCTCGTTTGTTGAAAAAGAACGAGAGGTGGTTACGGAACGCTGAATGTCAACGCTCCTTTGATGGTATCAAGCAGAGCTTGATACAATCCCCAGTCCTAGCAATTGCCGATCAGGACAGGCCATTTCATGTGGTCTGTGATGCCAGCGATTTTGCAATCGGCTATGCATTAATGCAGTACGATCTTGAGGGCGTTGAACGCGTCGTCTGCTATCAGTTGCGTCAGCTGCAACCAGCTGAGCGGAACTATCCAGTGCATGACAAGGAACTTCTTGCCATGAAGTATGCACTCGCGAAGTTCAGAGTCTATCTATTAGAGGATAGACCCTTCATTGTTTACACTGACCATGCGTCATTACGCACGGCAGTGAACAGCCCGCACCTTTCACAACGGATGGTGCGGTGGTTGTTCTTCTTTGCAGAATACAACTTTACGGTAGAGTACAAACCAGGACGACTTAATGTCGTCGCTGATGCACTCTCACGTCGGCCCAACTTTGAACCAGTCGTGAAACCCAACAGTGAGACAGCCACTGTTGCGGTTATGACGTCCTCAATACCATCTTCAACGTTACATGATGATGTGAGGCGGGCGTATGCCCAAGATGGTGAGATTGTGAAGTTGTCGACACATCTCTCACAGCCATCTCGAGAATCGTTGAAACGATTGTCGTCTGCGTATCGATCTGCATCATGTCGATACACTACTCGCGACGGTTTACTGTAATTTACAGCCATTACTGGTGACACACCACGTGTTTTCATCCCAGATGATACTGATCTGCGTTTGCGGGTCATGTTTTCGAGTATCACGATGCTCCTATAGGAGGACATCGTGGCCGGGAGAAAACGTATATCACGGTAAGTCGAGACTTTTACTGGCCCCGCCAGTATCAGTTTGTGCGTAAGTATGTTCGCGCGTGCGAAATCTGTCAACGAGTGAAGTCAAGTCCTTCACTGCGTGCACCTTTACAGCCTCTACCAGTTCCGGCAGATTGCTGGGAATCCATCTCAATGGATTTCGTCTTCGGGTTACCCAAAGACGCACGCAGGAATACGGGTATTCTCGTATTTGTTGACAGATTCAGCAAAATGGTACACCTTGTGGCTGTACCAGAGTCATTCACAGCAAGTGGTTGTGCTTGTGTCTTTATCGACACCATCTTTCGACTTCATGGGTTGCCCCGTGAACTCGTATCAGACAGAGATCCACGCTTCACAGCTGATTTCTGGCGTTCCGTGTTCAAATCACTCGGAACGCGCTTGAAGATGTCTGCACCTGATCATCCAGAGTCATATGGTCAGACGGAACGAGCCAATCGTGTCCTCGAAGAGATACTTCGAGGATACGTACACTCCTTTAAGAGTTGGAGTGAGTTCTTGCCGATGGTAGAGTTTGCCATTAACAACTCGGTTCATGCGTCCACGACACATACACCGTTTTACGTGAAAGGCTTGCGCCATCCGCGTGTACTCACCTTACTAGAGTGTAACTCTGGATTAAGGGGGGGAGGGACTCGCGCGAGCAAAAACCGATTTGGTTCACGCTCATCACGCTCTGACGAAGAGGTCATTGCGCTTGATGCCGATATCGACAACATCGATATCGAAGAAGATGATGCCAGTGAGAGTGCAGAAGCCCTCACTGAAGAAAAGGTTGATGTCGCTGCAGTGCACTCACAGCGCACTGAAGCTAACGATTCAGCAGATGAATTCATACTGGCTCGTGAAACGGTAGTCCGTTTTGTGCAAGATTCCATCGCCGAAGCGCTGGATAAGCAAAATAAAAACGCTGACAAGAATGGAAGGGCAAACACTCTTTTATTTAATAAAGGTGACTTAGTCCTACTGTCTACGGTTAATCTACCAAAGCATGTAGTGACTAACTTGGGTAGCAGTAAACTACTACCCAAGTACATCGGCCCATTTCGTGTATTGCACCGCCTAGGCAATGCATACACGATCGAGTTGCCATGTAAGATGCGAACGCATCCCACGTTTTACGTTGGTCGGCGTAAGCCGTACCATCAGTACGCTGTTTCTTCCTATGAAGAACGCCCTTGCGTTCAAGCATCTTACAAAGAGTCTTGTGCTCCCGATGGTGGATATCAACAAGGGTCTGAAGGGCAGATATCTCAGCCCGAGACCGGTCAATATCCCCACGAGCTACCCTTAGCTCGTTACGCAGAGATGTCAAAGCTCTCTCGTTCTCAAGCTGAGCAAAAGCATACTCAGCTCGATGCTTCAAGACAATGTCCGCCAGTTGAAGACGCCTGTCCCGCCCATGCTCGAGGTCGTCGCGTAACGCAAGAGTTACGCGATCCAAGAAGCTCTCGGAGACACACGCTCCCATACGATTGTGTGGAGAGCGTCTTCCCTCCTCCTCCACCTCCTTTGAAGGACTCTCGCGGTGGCCAGTGCTATCTGATTGAGCGGCTGTTGAGCCACCGCGATGTGAACGGACGTCGGACGAGTTACCTCGTCCGGTGGCGCGGTTATCCCTCGTCCTGGGATACTTGAGAGCCCCGCTCCCAACTGATGATTAACGTACTGGGTATGGTCGAGCAGTACGGCGCGGCACATCCTGTGCCGCAGAAGGACCGCCGGAGAAAGTCTTCCCGGCACGGTCGTAACGGGATTTCAGGTTGTCAATCCCTTCGTACATCTCAGTAGAGATACGTACGCGCCACCACGGGCTAATAAGGAGGTAAGCCTCCTTAGGTACGCGCGCAGAGTTGTTTACACAACAAGGGCACGGGCCTCCCCAGGAAAGACAGGGTAACCCTTTCTCCCTAGACAGACGATGCAGCTTATAGCGTGCACCTGTCGGGGTTCTCTTTTTAAACTTAGCACGAGATTTGATAAGTTTGTCGTTCCAAACGTCACGACCAACATCCTCAAGGTTATGGATGTAAGCGCTCCACGCTTGAAGCAGTGAGAGACCGTCACGTTTGTGATTCCTACTTTACCATCGATGCTTAAAGAAAGCATCGATGAAGAATTCATGCTCAGCGCGATAGCCTTTCGGACTGGGGTCAAGGTGATGGACCCTTGATGAATCGAATAATCGTGTTCGATAGCGATCATTTGTCGTCGCCGACAAGCGATCCATGACTGCCTTTGGAGGCAGCCATGCCTTCTTTTCGGGAGCGAGACGCAACACGCTGCGGTCCTGCTCTCATTCGACGTGCCGACAGAAGTACTGGTACCTCGCTGCGAAGTGGTGTCAATAGGAGAACCGACACCACTGTGAGCGCCCGAGTCTTGCGATCTCGAGCGCCTTCGCTTTGGCGATGGTTCATCTGATCCATCAGATGAACCAAAGATGCTGCGACGCATAGCATCATCCATGCCGCGCTTGGCAGGCGGCTTGGATTCGATCGCCGTCGATACAGATCCGTCTTCCGTATCAGGAGAGTATGAGACACCGAGCTCATACTCTGTGAAGACATGAGTGTCTTCATGACCAGCGCCTGCATCACCAAGTGACACAGGCTGAGTCGCTTCAGCAACCGATGAGACATCAGTTGCTGTGGTTTCTGCTTCGGCGTCCGCACAGAGACGCGCGGACGCGCTCTCGGCGGCCTTGCCCGCGCACCGCATGGACTTGTTTACCATGTGACGAAACTGTTGGAATGTGGACGCGGACCAACAAGTGCAAACCCTGTCCCAAATGATTTGGGACGAGTATCCATTTAGTCAATCAGTCACTAAAGTGACTGATGGTTAAGGGGGGGGTGATGTAACGGGGTGAATCGTTACATAACAATTTATAAGAAATTGTTAATAGAATATAACTATAAGAGTTATATTCTCAGAATATTGTCATAAGGACAAATATTCTGTAGCACTTCCAAGTAGTTCCTAATTGGTTGATTAAGGCCATTATATCAACCAACGAAGACGCGCCACGACAGACGCACGCAATGAGTGGTGAGCAGATAGCTGATTTACACATTTGTACTTAGACATAGTTAGATGAAGATAAATAGTGATTTACTAAAAGACATTAACTATTATAAATACAGTTCTACATTTTACTTTAACCAAGTACTCGCTTCTTCTTATCGTCTTCCTCTGCACGTACGAGTGTACGTGAAGTTCCGAAGCACCGCCTTATTCTGTCATCAGAATAAGTATCTTGTACTGCCATCAGAACAAGCTTCAGGGTGCCACGTTACACATATAGAACTTAATGCACCCCAGCTCACATAAAAAAAGTGGCCTCTTCTTTAATATTCGTCAGCCGCTTCTCATAGATTCCATTAGTTATGGTGTAGCCTTCGAGTGAGAGAGTAAGTTAGTTATTATGAAGAACAAATGTTGCGATACTTGCAAAGGCTTCCGATGGCTGTGCTGTCAATGCTACCGATGAGCTACTCTATCTAAAATGCATAATTTGGACTACAGCAGCAGACGATCACACACATCATAGCTCAACTGTTGATACGGAAATTCGACACTATGCACGTGTCTCTGCGACCAACTCGCGACTTGCTGTGACCATCAACCGTACCACCAGGATCTTGGAAGGCTACTGCTGAACGACGTTGTCGTGACACCTCGCGATTTTCTCGACAGACCTTAATTTTCTCAGAAATTGTTAGCACCAACCACTAGATATCCAGTACAACTTGTTTTGACCAGATTTGCTATCTTGGAGTGCGCCTGGTAGTAATGCGTCTAGCTCTAAATCTGAGGCTGTCTCCACGTTGCCGAACAATTCTGTGAGGCCTTTTTGACAAAGCTTGTTTGGTGTATTGTGTATTAATTCTGTTGGCGATTGGTGTATACTGACACACCTCTTGTAGTAAGTCTCATCCAGCCGCGCGACGCCTCATTACTTCTCCATATTAATTGTAGTTGTCTACTGGCTTTCGACAAACTGAAAGCCAGGAGGTCTCTACTATGTCTGAGGTTGTGTCGAGCCAATCACATTAGAAGCCAGACCCACGTAATCTGTGGATTGCCTCTAGATTCCCAATTGATTCAAAGTACTAGCCACTAAGCACTTGAAGCAAGTAATGTTGTACTTCATTATTTCCAGCTTGCATATCCGTCAGTCGTCGCAACAATAAACAGCCCGCATGACTGTAACGTAGCACTTTAATCGGAGTCCCGCAATAGATATAGTGCTCGACAAAAAACTATGGACTGCAAGAAAAAAATACTACTCTGTCCCATTTGTTTATGGACTAAAAGTTATGTGAGCTGCACAAAATATTATGACTGGCTGAATATTAACTTCGTATTTTAGTCTGTTTTGTCGGCAATTCATCACTACAGACAAGCCATTTTAAGATATTGGCAGTGAGTGCTCGCCAGTAAAACAAGTTTGAAAACAACTTTCAGCAGCAGCATCTTTAAGAAAATCAATTATCACGTGGGTCGCCTCCCTCGGCGTTACCGATCGCTTCTGAGCTTGTATTTAAGAATAATATTCCTTCGGAAAGAATGACTAATCAGAGCCTTTAAACAAGAATATAAATAATGGTCTTTCTATTGGCTAGATATCATTCAATATTTAACCCTTTCTTAGCACACTCCGCCAGAAATGTCACTTCATTTATACACAATCCTTCAATTTTTAGTTATAAAATTGTTGCTTGGATCGTCACGCTGCTTCCTGAATGACTGAAACTTCTCGTTCTAGAAAATACAACTTTTAACTTCACTACACCAAACAAGCTCAAACAATTATAAGACGATTAAACAAGTACTGTGTATTTTTGGGTATCTGCAATCAATGGGTATAAAAAGTGCATTAAACGTTTCAAAATGATCTTTTTACGCTGGCAGAACTTTCGTCTAAGCATTAAGTCTGTAGCAAAATACCGAGTCAAACGCATCGAAACTCATAAATAAAATGGGGCAGAGTACGAAAAGTGTTAATTTCTTTTCAAGTTTTCTGCTCGAAAACGAAGTTTGATTCTTTGCTGTGTAACGCCAAAAGGGAATTGTTGTAAAAAACGTAGATGGTGTTGACCTCGTCAAAGACACGAAAAGGGCATAAGAGTTGCTGAGAGGTAGTCAGAATATTACACAGAGCACGAAATTTCCTATTTCTGGGTGAGCGCGCGATGGATATAGATCGTAAAAGAAGCCAGTAAAGACACAGACACATTCTTTATAATATAGCCATATTCACTTTTAAACTGGGAAGCCCCTTTGGCCACACACAAATCTTACAACTATGGCGAGCAAAAATGAAGAAACAATTGATAAGGACCCACTAGGTCTAATTCATTGTTTTTTAGGACCACATACGTGTACACAACGAATTGGAGATGCTAGGGACACTGCAGAAGGCGGGCGGTCCAAGGGCAAGACCACGAGCCACCACATGGTAATTAAGCTCATCAGATTAGATCAGAGAGTGCATCCAACCACAGTAATGTAAATGCAATCTAATGAGTAAAACGGGCACACGGCCCACGTTTTTCCTGATGCGGTGCTGTATCATGTCGATGCGGATATCACGCATCTGCTCACAAAAATGTTCACAACCTCCGACGCATTGCCAGTCATTCATAGGCGATGCAAGCTTGAGACAAGCGCTCTTCAAGCCGAGAGTAAGATGAAGAGCACCCATAAGCAAGACTCAGCTCCGTCGTGAGATCCTTATCCACTGATATCGCCGTTGATTGTGGGAGCCATGAGACGCACTGAGACTGAACAAATTTAAAGCACACTGACATGAATCCGTGTAAGTACGAAATGCATAAGCTTCAAGTTACCGCATTTTAACGCATCATAATCATTGCTGGAGCCAGTACCAGCTATATTTGAACGATTGACAGAAAGCTTTTACTGTTCTTGACACCGTCTATAGAAGCTATGTAGAATCGATTATGTGTGCACGTATGCATGTTCCCCCGTAATGTCCATAAATTATTGTAGGTAGGCTTCTGCGTTCCTGCCGCTAATGTGCCCACAAACGAAGTATCTTGTGCCACTCGGCCGGTCATTTTAAGTGACTCCAAAGTCCATGAGAGTAAATTTCACCAGTATAATGGGGTACTGGTGACTTGCACTGACACATTACAGCTTCAAATGCACTGACACAGTGTTATCAGTGCCGTGCGTCCCTTCACGTACCCAGTACGTGCCGAGGAAGAATAACTATCAAATAATTGTCTGATAGGGGTAGAAAGCAAGACTGCGTTACACACAGTTTCGTCATTATCAATATCCGTACCCTAACTTAATTGTATATACCTACAAAACTCTATACTGAAGTCTTGTTTACCACTCATTACGCGCCTATCATTGATTGGACCGCTAGTATGACTGATATAAAGGCCTATATCATCCCTATAATTTAAATGTCTAAAAAGATCACCCTTTATCGATGGTAATATTATATCAATAGCTATTGTGTTTTCATTTAGTGAATCAAATTTACCTCGATAAAAATGGGTGTCTACCAAACCTATAGCATTCGTGTCATTCGCGTCGTTTTGCTAGTTCAGAGCTCCAGGCTAACGCTAAGATAAGAACACTTTACAGCTCTGTTAAGC